TCTGCCCCTCCCCTGTTCATGCTCTGTCTCTCTCTGTATCAAAAATAAATAAACGTTAAAAAATTTTTTAAAAAGTTAGTACTGAAAAAATTTAGTGTAGTTTTTCTTTGTCTTAATTCCATGTTGTATTGGGAAAGAAGGGCAGACACAGGGTCACTTTGGGAGAGTTGAACTGAATCACTGAATTTAAATACCACAAGGTGGCACACTTTTCCCATTTAAAAGTAACTGCACTCAAGAACTCCCCAATATAAATAAGCTATAAAATAACTTGAAGTTTTTTGCAATGCTACTTGGAAATCACTGCTAAATGGTTTAAAGATGTAGTGGTGAAGTCAGTTTAAGAAATGGTTAAGGAGAGGGGTGCCTGGGCGGCTCCATTCTGTGCTGACAGCTCAGAGTATAAAGCCTGCTTTGGATTCTGTGTCTCCCTCTCTCTCTGGCCCTCCCCTGCTCATGCTCATGCTCTGTCTCTCTCTCTCTCGTTCTCAAAAATAAACAAATATTTTAAAAAATTTAAAAAAATGGTTAAGGAGAACTAGGAGTTAAAAGTAATTCATGCAGGAAGGTCTCTAACATTTCCTTGTCTGGTGGGCCCATATGGAGATGTCATTGATTTGAGGAATGTCCACAGTTAAATCTTTTATTTTTCCTGAATTTTTGTTACATTTTGTGTAATGTGGGATGGATTAACTCCACTAATGATTTCCTATCATGCAAATGTAAAATATTTCATTTCCTTACATGTGTCCACACCAGGTATGTGAGATGTAGGTACAGGAAGGAAGGAGTAAAATGTAATGAGGCGGAATGAGGGAGATAAAAACACTGGTGTTGAGGAAAGGTGGGATAAGTCATAAGCAGGCTGGGCCTGGGAACTCCATGCTTCAGGTGTGGGCAAAGTAGTAGGAGGGCAGAGCAGAGGGCCCTGCCAGGTTCTGCTATGATCTGGCACAAAGTTATCCCCATCCCACTTAGGCCAGCAAGCAGGATCTTTCTCCTTAATGCACATTACCTCCCATAACCTGCACTGTCCAGGAAAGCCATGGCAATCTGCAGAGAGAGAGACAGAGAGAGAGAGAGAGAGAGAGAGAGAGAGAGAGAGAGAGAGAGAGAATGCACACATGCACACAGGGGAGGGGCAACTTGAGAGGGAGGGAATCCCAAGCAGGCTCCACTCTGTCAAAGCAGAGCCCCAGGTGGGGCTCAGTCTCATGAACTGAACCGTGAGATCATGACCTGAACAGAAACCAAGAGTTGGATGCTTAACCCACTGAGCCACCCAGGCGTTCCTGAACCATTGCTCTTTATTTAAATTGCTATTGTAATTTGAATGACAGCAAAGGGAATGTCATGGCATTGTTTTTCATCTGTGAGGACCTAGTCAAAGGGAGGAACAGTCTGTACAGTGGTGACACTGAGTATCATTTAAGTGAGGGTCTTAACCTAATAGTGGCACATTTATTGACCATCTATGTATCTCACACTAGAATTAAGCTCTGTACGTAGCTGCTGCACAAAGGCAAATTTTGGCTTGATAATAGTGCTTATTGTGACATGTTCTTCACACTTCATGGGCTCTTGCTCACAACACAGAAGAGTTAGTGGTAGTATTATCTCCATCCTAGATTAGAAAACAGGTTCAGAAGGGGGCTTGGATTCAGTCTCAGGTCGGTCTTAGTCTAGAGCCCATGTTCACACCACTGCAGGGTGAACCTCAGAGTTCAAAGAAGGGTCTTTCACCAGAAGATTCAAGTCTGTGCTACACCATCTGCTAATAAATGAGGGGAACCTCTCAGGAAAAAGTTACACTGTTTTACTTCTGTTTTTTTACCTTGGCAAGGATCTGATGGATTTCTGGCAGAATCTTAACTGACATTTTAAAGTATAAACACTGTAAAGTTTAAGATGATTTTTATTGAAGATTCACCTTAACATTATTACAAATACAATAAAAGGGTTTTTTTTTTTTGGTAAAAAAATTTCCTGGAATTATTGTACAGTAATTCCTGGAATTTGTTGTACAGTAAAACAAAGAAATACATAAATATGAAGGTCATTTTCCAAGTATTAGAACAATACTAATGGAATCACTTCCATAACAATTTTTTTTTCGGTAAATATTTACATGATCACCCACAAGTATACCAACTTCCAGAATAAGACATATTTCCAAAAAACAATCAAACAATATATCCGAAGTCTTTCTCTGCATGGGATTTGGTCAATGAATATCAGCAAGAGAATTTTGTTATATATATATATATATATATATATATATATATATATATGATGAACATAAACATTTGTAAATGCAGACTATAATGTCTGTGTAAATAAAAAATTTTGCCAGCTTTGTCATATAGGGAGTAGCTAGAGACCACTCACATGATTAAACTATACTGTGTATATATTATCTTACGAAAAATCACATAAGGTAATAATAAGGCCTTTGCTTCCAGAGTAGTCTTAAAATAAGGTTAACAGGCTTAATTTCATCCTTTATATTTTTAGAGTTCATATTCTTAAACATCTTGGCTACTAAAATTATGCATAGTACCTAAGCCAACACAGAAAGTGGCATAACAATTTCAGTTACAGTACTTGACTATATTCACATGACGTACCATCTAAGAATTGACCAAGTATAATTTCTGAACTGTCCCAGTTTGACCTGTTAAAACAAAATGCAACCCCATCATATGAGCCCAGTTTCTTTCAAGCATATTATAAAAGTCTTAGGAAGCCTAACAGTTCAGAGTACTTAAATGAAGTATTTTTTTAATTTTTAATTTTTTTAAATGAAGTATTTAATACTGTCAGCTTGAGCTTGCAAAGTGGTCTAGTTGGCATGGAAATCTCAGTCTAAAATTACTTCTGGATGTTTTATGTTTTGGTTGGTGGTTCGTTGAGGATTTGTTTTCTTTCTAGAAACAAATGGGCCAAGGTGGTGGATCTTGATGGCTCACAGTTTTCATGAAAAGCAAAACAAAACAGAAGAATCTAGTTTGGATAACATTACTCTCATGGTATTTCCTGGAATGGGATGATGGACTTCAGGATTTTTGGTCAAGACTTTCTCAGATTTTAAGTACTAATCCATATCGGTTGCTTGTATATGAAAGCCTTCAACACCACAAAGGGGAGTCAACCATCAGAATGCAAACTGATGGCCCAGGGCTGCTCTGCCTGCCCCCTTCACATCCGCTCTGGTCTCAGTTACCAGCTCAAGTCATGGGAAGTGGGCTCCTGACCAGCTTCTGTACTTCCCCCAAACAAGGTATTTAAGATTTCTGTATCTAACCACAAATATATAGCTTTAATATGCCATTATGTTTCTCTAGGATAGGATTAGAAAGACAAGGTTATATATCTGCAAATTCTCTAAGACTGGGTGATTTGAAATTTGATTTTAATATTAAAAATTAATTTATTAAAATCTATTTTTTCAAATCCAATTTTCTAAACTCCAAATGGAACCAAAAGTGCACTTGGTATTTAAAAGGCAATTTTTTTTTCAGTAGTTACATGGTTACGTGTTCTAAGAAAAACCAGAAAAGTAAGGCAGACACTTAAGTGAACTTTAACAAATATTTTCAGAGGACTGTAATGAAATGTGATTGCAAAGTATCCCAATGCAACACAAACTAATATGAATCCAGACTTGCACTGATTTTTCCCTAATCAATTTTTCTATTTATTAAAATGATTTCTGGGGTGCCTGGGTGGCTCATTCGGTTAAGTGTCGGACTCTTGATTTCGGCTCAGGTCATCGTCCCACAGTTTGTGAGTTAGAGCCCCTATGAGTTTGAGCCCCTGCATCTGGCTGTGTGCTGACAGTGCAGAGCCTGCTTGGGATTCTCTTTCTCTCCCTTTCTTTCTGCCCCTCCCCTACTTGCGCAGTACATGTGTGTGCGCGAGTGCACACACTCTCTCTCAAAAATAAACATTAAAAAATAAAATGATTTTCTACTACATAAATCAAGATGTATCTGGTGGCTGCTAAAATTATAAAGCCATGATATTTATACATTTCAAGATTTCCACATTTTGTTTTTAAAAAATAATTCTGTATCATTTTAAATACTGGGAGTCAGTCTTGTATAAAGGTATCAGGCTGAGCGCAGGCAAGATGGACAATGCCTGGATTACAGCATGTTTTACATATCTGAAGAATGTAATCAGGGAAGCCTGAACCTTGCTTACAATCTATAGTTCTTATTTTCAAAACTGCAAAATTATTTGCATTAGTGCCAATGAAAAATATAGTCTAGAAATAACATTTTGAAAATAGAAAAATATGTTTTTAATACATCATAAATATCTCCAACACTACCTTCTTATCTCTGTTAAATACTTTGACACCCCCCCCCCACCCCCGCAACACCCCCATAATATATAATGGACGGATCAACTCACTTGTTAATCACAGAGAGCAAGCAAGTCTTTACCACTTCAGCTAACATTTTCCTTGGTTAGACTAAAATGTTCAGGTCACCTTTTTTCCTTTCAAAACAAAACAAAAGTATTAGTAAAGACTCAGAAAACCTTATCTTTCAACATTCAAAATATTCTAAAATGGAATTTAACCTTTTAAAAAATATCTAGGTGCAACAGTAGTACTGGATTAATTTGGAATACCTAACCCTTGAATTGTTAAAAAACCGAAAACTGTAACATGAACTACTCAAATTTTTCTAAACCTTTAAATTTGGGTATTGAAATATTTTAATATATTTTCCCTTTACTTTGCCAAAACAAAAATACCTAGACCAAAATTATTCAAACATACCACATTTTTTTTGACATGGTTTTGAAAGTAAGGGCTGGGAATTACTGGTTCTAAAGAATCTACATTTTTCTTCAGTGACTGAATGATTCCAAGAAAATTAAAACTTGTCATGTAAGACCAGAAAAACTCTTCCCACCTGATAAAAAGATGATCTATCTTTCGAACTTGTTAAACTGGATCCAGATCAGATAATACTTGAAAAGCTGCATTGGATTATGTTATATTTTATTGTCTCAAAACAACAACTGTTATAGTAAAGGAAAAAACATACTATCCCATCATGGGGAGTTAAAATAGAAAATCACGAATCTATGTCAGTAATGTCAAGCAGCTGTCCCCTGTCTTATCTGCCACCTCCTTGGAACAATTTTCAGTTTCAGATAAGTCTGAACTTACACAGAAAAGGCTGCTTGGCTTTTGATGCTAAGGTTTTTCTCCTGTTCTGAATTTTGACTCCTGAAACCAGCAGATATTATTCAGTGAATAATAGAACAGCTCTTAAGGTGCCTCATGGGAGCCTACCATATTGAATATTAAGCTTAGCTTGAATCTCATATATAGTGCTAGCGGGAGTTGTGCAGCTCATCTAACATTAACAAGTAACAATGCATGCTGCATAATAATGGCGTTACACTCATTCACACATCTCAGACTTAAACACGCTTATTCCACTTGTGACAGATACGTTTAGAATTAAGCATTCTCCACGCTTTGACTGTAGTATAGCATTTCCCCGAAGGATGAACACCCAAACTTTCTATCAGTTATTTAACCAAGAAGAGTTAATAAACCTAGTACAATACCATAGGTAGTATATAATATTATGGAAGATATCCTTAAGAGATTGTAACTATCTTGACAGAATTTATAGGGTTCAAGACATTCACTTACTATCTCCCAAACATTAAAATTAAATAATTAGAGCCCAAACCTGTTGAGCACCTACCTCTACTACAGGTTTTACGCTTCAGGACTGAGCTATACTCAGACGTATAATGTTGTTTTCCCCACCTGGCTGTTTCAAAAGAAAGAGCAGGCTTTCATTATCATGTGCAGTGACCACAGAAGCTGTGTGCCTCTAAACACACGTGGCACAGCACCTGGATACTACTGTTCTGATGTTCCCTTTTGGTGGATGGGACAGGATGGTGGCACACACTTTCACAGAAGGAATCAGTGTTGGCTTTCCTCTTGATAGAGGAACGTGCTTCATGTTTCAAATACGTTCATTTTCTCATAAATGCTTGAATGAAGTGCCTTGACAGCTTGATTGCCCATGTCTCAAACCCCCAGGGAAGAAGCTTCAGTTCACCAGCTTGACTTCTAGCGTTTGATCACAACTTGTTCATAAGCTCCAGACCCCACCCTACAACCAGAGGAAGAAAAAAAAAAACCTTCAAAATCTTGAACTGTAATGTTTGAAATTGTTCTAATTAACCTTGCACTCAAAGAGTTAGGTGCATTAGGCATTTTCTACTAGATTTGATTTCCACAAGGTTTAAAGATATCACAGATAGAAAACACTTGAAATATTAAATGTTTAGGATTAGTACACTGGATTAGTCTAGACACACTTATTCCTACAATAATCTAGTACTGTTCCTAAATCTTGACCTGTGGCAAGAAAACTTTTCTTTAAACATGTTTATACATAAATCCTAAAATCAGTCTTATCCTAGGGCATATACTGACTGGCAATTTACCCAGGCCTTGCAGAGTTATGGGTGATAGTTTTTAGTTGCAATTATAGTGTGATGTCTTTTTTGTTTGTTTTATTTATTTATTTTGTGAGAGACAACACAAGTTTGGGAGGGGCAGAGAGAGAGACAGAGAGGGAGAGGGAGAGGGAGAGAGAGAATCCCAGGCAGGCTCTACACTGTCAGTGCAGAGCCCCATGTGGGGCTTGAACCCACGAACTGTGAGATCATGACCTGAGCTGACGCTTGGACGCGCAACTGAGCCACTCAGGCACCCCTACAGTGTGAGGTCTTAATGCATCTTCCTGGAAAGTGTGAGAATTTTTTTAGTCAACACGCCAATGTTTTTATATGTAGTCAGTAATGTAAATTATACCCGTGTAATACAGATTTGAAGTGAAGTGATCTTGAAGAGAGGTTTATTTCTTCACTAGCTTGGTTTGGCAGGCTGCTGGTTGTCTCTCTGAATCTATCATTTCCTTCTTCGCAGTTTCAGCTGGCAACAGGCTGTCCAGGCTGCTCACCTAGAGGCCACATTTCCTAAATGCCTTGTTGATAGGTGTTGCCATGTGACTGTTTCATGCCATGGAACATGAATGGGGATGTGTCAACTTTGTCTCACTTGCTTAAAGAGCAATTGCTTGCCTTGGACTGGTAGCAATCCAAGTTTGACAACAGGTAGGGAGGATGGTGAAGGGCAAAATGGAGGGCACTTGCATCCATGAATCACCTTTTACGGCAAAACTCTCTGTCCTAACAGCCTGGCCACTGTATTTTCGTTATACGTATTTGTGATAGCAGCTTTGCCGCAAAGCTGCTCTGCCTTGATATTCCAGGTGCTAACTGACCTCTATCAATAAAGAATGGAGAATACTAAAAATTTAAAATTAGCAAACTCTGTGAATAAAACAGGTGTTTAAATGAAGTAATGGCCTCATCAACAGAAGGTTTGTTACTGCTGATGTACCCAGAACCTTGGCCCTATGTTATAATGGAACACACATGTTCCCTCTATTGTTTCTTCATCTGGGAGGATACAGGTTTTCTACAAGTCTGTAAAAGCACAGTGTCTTTTGGATGGTAGCTGGATTTATTTTTAGATGAGGATTTTTGACCCCTCGAGCAATCAGGCGGGGAGCTGAGTGGTGGTGTCGCATGGAGGGGAGAGTATTACTGCTTTCAGTTTTCACCAGTACCTATCTCCTCATGTGTCAGGATGCCAGGGGCCACACAACCTGACATTTCACTCTGAGAATTCCAGAGACCAGTAAGACCAAAAGCAAACAACATGGTTGGTCTCTTCCCATAATGAAATTTTAAGAGGAAATCCGAAAAAAGTGGGAGTAATGCAGTGGTTACCAGGCCACTGTGTACTGACTTGGAATTCTCAGTTGACTGCTTAGAGGCTCCTGTTCTTACAGATTCATTCTGCAGAAGAAACAGGAACATCCTTAATGGAACACCAGTGAACACCCATTCACAATTACAGATATTGGAACTTGAAGGAGTCTTGGTGAGCCCCACTGCACCCTGGCTGTTAGATGCCCTAAAACTGTTCTACTCTGGCAATAATGTAGTAATAGGAACCAGACTTTCCCTCCTGTTGTAAATAGCTATAATATTTTATAGAACATATAAAACAACAGTTCATATACTGGACAACAAGCAGCACAGGACTGGTCCTGAGAGAAGGGAAATCAATGAAGAAAAGTCTAAGACAGTTTCCTTCAGGGTCCTCCCGGCCTTCACTGCAGGAAGACAGAACCCAAACATAGCCAGGTGGTCTTTATTTATTTATTTATTTATTTATTTATTTTTTACTTTCTAAGCAGGCTCCATGCTCAGTGTAGAGCCCAATGTGGAGCTTGAACTCACAACCCTGAGGTCAAGATCTGAGCTGAGATAGAGAGTCGGACGCTTAACCAACTAAGCCATCCAGGTGCCCCAGCCAGGTGGTCTTTCTGAGTGTGGGAGTCACAGGTCAGAGCACAGGGGGGCTGTGGGCTGGAATTTGTGGGTTAGGATAACAGAAGGAGGGGTAGGGGAAAATAACGGCTGGAGAATTTCCAAATTTGATGACAACTGTAAACCCACAGACCCAAGAAGCTCAATGAACCCCAAATGGAATAAACACAAAGAAAAACCCAGGCACATCATAACCAAATTGCTAAGAACCAGTGATAAAATCTTAAAAAAGTAGCCAGAGATGAAAAAAAAATCACATAGAAGAATAAAAACCGAAATGAAAGCAGACTTTTTTGTCAGAAACTATTGTCTCAAAGGCAAGCAAGGAGCAGCCTGTGCAAGCACTCCCAGGCCGGTTGGGCTGTGTCCACTAGACTTTAAGTGTATGACTGGGGATACTGCTCCCCCAAGTCTCTACTACTCTGCTCTGTTCTCTTCATTTTCATGGGTTCACTTTCTTAACCACATATGGTTCTTGTGCCTCTTCAGTGCCTGAGTAAATGACTCTAGTTTCATCTTGTGCTGCCAGTTTCTCTCTCAGAATAGATCTAATGCTAACACATTAGTTTCTCTGAGACACACCAGCTAGTTATGGAGAGTCTACGTGCACAGGTATTGTGCTGGACACTGCAAATAGCTCGATCTCAATAATCCTGCGAGAGAGACCTTTAATTAGTGTATATGGAGTACTGCATGCCAGATTATGTTTTAGTCACTTACATGTCTTACCTCACTTAATTTAGGCCTTGTAACTCTTATGAGGTGGGTTCTGTTATTGTCACTATTTCGTAGGTGAGGAGACAGGCAGAGAGAAGTGAAGTAACTTATCAAAGATGCACGGCTGATACGCAGGAGAGCTTGGGACTGCACCCATGAAGCCCAACTCCAGAGCCTGTGTTGTTAACCCCAGTGATAATGGTTGTCTTTTTGGTGGTAAGTAAGAGATGTAACTTGTCAGGATCATAGCTAAACTAAGCTAAGCTGGGTCATGATGGTTAAGCCAGGAATGAAATCCATGTCAGACTGCATGGCCCATTCTCTTCACCATGATACACTGTCTCTAACATTCCTTAGGTTTTCAGTGGCATGTAACATTAATCATCTACTTCAACCCCTAATTATCATTTTAGGCTTTCATGCATGAGGTGATGATTATTCTTTTTTTTTTAAATGTAGATTAAAAAAATTTTTTTTTTAAATTTACATCCAAATTAGTTAGCATATAGGGCAACAGTGATTTCAGGAGTAGATTCCTTAATGCCCCTTACCCACTTAGCCCATCCCCCCTCCCACAACCTCTCCAGTAACCTTCTGTTTCTTCTCCGTGTTTCAGAGTCTCTTATGTTTTGTTCCCCTCCCTGTTTTTATATTTTTTTTGTTTCCCTTCCTTTATGTTAGGTGATGATTATTCTAACATTCATTTGGAAAAGAAGTGGGAGCCAGAATTCTAAATGCCTTCAGAGCCTAGGTTCTAGATTATTTCTCAAATAGAAAATTAACCTTCTTTCCTCTTAATAACTACAATATAAACAGCTAGCATATACTGAGAGCCTTCTGTGTATTAAGCACTACGCTAAGTATTTTACATAAATTATCTAATTTAATCAGTAAAATCCTATCAACTAGGCATTATTGGTCACTCCCATTTTTCAGGTGAGGAGAGTAAGGCTGACAGAGGTTAATAGTATCAGTGAAGTCAATAGGGGAGGGACTCTGCCTTGGACCCTGAGCAGTCTGAAATGAGAGTACAGATAGCTGTTGCTTTTGAACATTCACTATTTTGGTTCCTTTTGGTTGGAACTTCTATTGTTTGCTGTTCCTGTACCTAAATTAATAAACACTGGAGCTTACTGAGTATATTAGGTCATTTGTTCTTTACAACAATCCCATGATTATCCCTGCTTTTCAATGGAGGTAACAAAAGTTCCATTGAAGTTAAATGATTTACTGAGGCCCCAAGTGGTCTGGCTCAGATAGGAACTCAAGTCTCTTTAACTCAAAACACATGGTCTCTCTACCATATAATATGTATTACTGTCTTCATAAATGTCATTTTCTACCTGTTCCTTGCTACTAGTCTCTCCTTGTTCCAACCTCCCCACCCCCATCAAATTATGGCCACTTAGTTTTCTAACATGCCAGTATCATAGATCATTTTCCTGCCAAAGAATGACCAAACTGTGCACATGACAGAAAAGGATACATTCTTTGTTATGGCAACAGAGGCTGTTTATAACCTGGCTTTGAGATTCCTACCAACTTCATGTCCCACAGGCAGCCTTCACATGCCCCCTCCTCAGAGTGCCTGTTCACTGGCAACTCCCAAAGTGGGTTATATTATTCATAAGCCAGTAAGGTATGGCGGTTAGGTACAATGAATGTGCTCTGGGCTCAAAGAAACAGGAGTCTGAATCTTGGTTTTATCAGTTATTAGTTTTAAGTCCTTGGGCAAATTATTTAACCTCTTTGTTTTGTCTTTTTAAAGACTAATAATAGTACATCATGAGTACTGAAAGAGATAATGTAAGAACTGAATGAAGCATATATATGTGCCTAGCACATATGAGTAAATGCTCAGTGTTATTAATAATTATTATATATTTACTATTATATAATTAGATATTATAACCGTTATGCCTATACATTCATTCTCTTTGAATCCACTACCAGGAATATCTGTCTTCCTCACATCCACCTGTTAACCCCCCACACTTACTTTTAATTCTTCCCAACTCTCTCTTCAGGTGTCAAATTTCTAGTAAGTTTTCTCTGAGTGAGGTCCCATCTCTGTTCTCTCAGAGTCTCCTCTACTTCTCTATATTATAGTGCTTATTACACTACTATAAATTTTAGTTTGTCTATCTCACCTGCTAGAAAGAGTCAGATAATAAATATTTTAGGCTTGGTGAGCCATTATGGTCTCTATTATACTATTCAATTCTGCTGCTGTAGCATCAAGGCAGCCATAGATAATACATAAACAAGAGTTGCTATATTCTAAAAAAAATATTTTTTACAAAAACAGGTAGTGGGCCAATTTGGCTCACAGGCTGTAATTTCTCAACCCCATATGCTAGACACATAGGCTAGCTGAGGGTGAACTTGGTCTTTCTATCTTGCATCCTTACCCACGACTTGGCCCAATAAATAGCTACTGAATTTAATGGGTGGATAACTCAGTGAGAGTTAATGAAAACTATAAATTGCATTTACATCCTCTATACACCCTAGTTCAAATTAACTACTTCCTCATGGCCTCTTTATATGTCTCTCTCTTACCTACCTATCACAACTGATTGCAGTTAGTTGCTGATGTAGGTTCTCTGCTATATCCTTTGTAACTTTTGGACTCTGCAACGTGCTGGACATGGAGGAGGAACTCAATAAAAGCAGTATTGGTGGAACAAATGAATTAGAAATTCCTTCAGGTTTTGAGCATTAGAGAACAAAATAACTGTCTTAGGCACGGGGGCTCCCCAGTACAACTGTGACTTATTCTGGAACTCTAAATAAATATTACATGGAAATACTGAGTATAAGGGATGCACATGAGGTCAGGGGTCAGGATTCCTTAACTGTCCCAAGCCATCTGTGCTCAGTACAATTTGCTGCAGTACTGGAAATCAGAAGTAAGTCTGGCAGGTGCCTTTTCTTCATCTGAATCTGAATAACTACCAGAATGATGCTTGGTATTCTCAACTTTTCTTAGTATGTATGTTAGACTCTTGTAGGGTGGAGAAAGGGGAGTACAAAAAAGGTTAGTACCAAGTGTATGCTGGTGAGTGGTCATGTAACTGCTCATAACAGACAAGATGATTGACTGAAATGTAATTTTGCTTTGCTCTTTTTAAAATATCAGACTAAGAACTCTTTTCTAAACATCCTTTTTCATTGCATCTTGCCCAATGCTCTTCTGGTCCTCTACTAATATGTTCTAAAAACACATTTAAGAAAACCAACAGATAAAACTTACTAAATATAATTTCAAACATACTCAAGATAAGGAAAGCTAAGAGCTGTAATTCTTCTCATGGATGCATTATATGTATTTTCTAGCCTCAGTCTAATACAAACTTTGTAACTTTCACCTTCTACTCAAGAACATATTCTTTATTTAATACGATGCTATCTGGACCACGTACCTATTTGGAAGATGATGGCTGCCGAAGGTCGTACTTCCCCCGGGACCCACAAATAACCTCAGTCCTTCTTCTGCAATTCACATTAAAATATTTGTTATAGGCACATGTATTACATTATTGTCAAATTATATTCCTATATTAAATTCATAATTTACATTTAAGTTTTATTAAATACATTTTTATTTTTTATTTTTAGATTTTATTTTTAAGTAATTTCTACACCCAACATGGGGCTTGAGCTCACAACTTAGAGAGCAAGAATTGCACACTGTACTGACTGAACCAGCCCCAAGAAATAAACTTTTAGAAAGCTACACATATATTTTAAAAACAGGCAATTTAGGGGCGCCTGGGTGGCGCAGTCGGTTGGGCGTCCGACTTCAGCCAGGTCACGATCTCGCGGTCCGTGAGTTCGAGCCCCGCGTCGGGCTCTGGGCTGATGGCTCAGAGCCTGGAGCCTGTTTCCGATTCTGTGTCTCCCTCTCTCTCTGCCCCTCCCCTGTTCATGCTCTGTCTCTCTCTGTCCCAAAAATAAATAAACGTTGAATAAAAACAGGCAATTTAAAAGATATGCTTTTTTTTTTTTTTTTTAAAGTAGGCTCCATGTCCAATGTGGGGCTTAAACTCACAACCCTGAGATCAAGAGTCACATGCTGTACTGAGTCAGCCAGGCGCCCCTAAAAGATATCCTAATAGTTATTTCTCATTAACTTCCCTAAAGTTGTTTTTCTTTAAAACTGAGTAAAAAAGATTTCTCTTCCTACAAATTTCCATAAGTAAGGTTTAATTACTTCTCCTTACAACCAGTTACATAATGAAACTAAGTCCATTGCTAACTGCTCTCTATTCATGCCGGCGTGAATAATTACACCTTTCAAATTGGTGGCATGTAAATTTCGCCTCAGTGAAAATGCTGAGGAGGGAATAAAGGATTCTGTGATTCACTATCATCTCAAGATCACTATCCAACCCTGCAAATTACACAGTTGTTGTGTCCAGTTATGATAAAGCAGATACAGACATCTGCTGTAAGGTACATAAACACGGTAGACGTTGATGCATACACAATAAAAGGCTTCTTTAAAATTGGATGTTTTTAGGGGCATCTGAGGGGGGGGTTAAGTCAGTTCAGCATCTTTTTCTTTTTTTTTAATTTTTTTAAATGTATATTTATTTTTGAGAGAGAGACAGAACACGAGTGGGTTAGGGGCAGAGAGAGAGGGAGACACAGAAGCAGAAGCAGGCTCCAGGCTCTGAGCTGTCAGCACAGAGCCTGACGTGGGGCTCGAACTCACGAGCTGTGAGATCATGACCTGAGCCGAAGTCGGACGCTCAACCGACTGAGCCACCCAGGCACCCCAGCATCTGACTACTGATCTCAGTTCAGGTCTTGATCTCAGGGTGATGAGTTCAAGCCCCACGCTGGGCATGCAGCCTACTTAATCCACACACCTTCTGCACTGGAATCTAGGCTGAAGTCTTGACTCTGCAGTATTTTCTCTACAATATCATCTGCATCCACTCTGGTGTCATCAACTCGCTTCAGCTGAGATTCTACAGAATCTTGCTTCACTGGGCATCTTTGAAAATAATTAAAAAAAATTTTCCCTTGTTTTTATTATGTTACAAGAACAAAGTTGTTTTTTTCCTCTCCATTTAAACAGAGACTGGAAAAATACCTGTTGAACGGTTCTGAAGCGGTATCTTCTTTGCCAGCTGTATCAAGATTTGGTTCAACTATTTTTTGCTCAATTTCATCACAGGGCTCTAGAATACTTTCAATTCCTGTTGATGTGCTTCCCACTGAGGTATTTCTCCTGTGGCAGAGGTCAGAGAAGCTAGATGACCGGGAGTGGCACGAGCTATACCCTGTTAGAGAAAAATTGCTTTGGGTAAAATACTAACACCAAACACACTGCACATAAACGTTCTCCCACATCCTGGCAGTTACAAGTAATACTTTAGAACAATAAATATCTAAGGAATTCAACTTCACTGTTAGCCTCTACCTGATACTTTTGACTGCTGGCTTGCATAGCTTGATGTTCTAGAATGTCCACAGGCACCAAGTTCATCTGGAACAGAGGCACTCTTTGCTGAAAGATCTGCAATAAGTCATAACATGATGTTACCATTACTGCCAAGAGGTCAATGGTCAATTTGTATTCTTGTCTGCAGATTTTATTAACTGCTAAGTTCATTATCAAGAAAAATTAGTTGTGAAGTGAAAAGAGACCCTTTTAAATTGGTACAAGGTAAACAATTGCATTGTAGTGAAATTTAAAAAACTTAAATACCATGGTTTATTGAAGAAATATAGTTTTGGGTGCCTGGGAGGCTCAGATGGTTAAGTATCTGACTCTGGACTTTGGCTCAGGTCATGGTGTCATGGTTCATAGGACTGAGCCCTGTATTGGGCTCTGTGCTGACAGTGCAGAGCCTGCTTGGGATTCTCGCTCTCACTGCTCCCTCTCAATATAAATAAACTTAAAAAAATATTTTTTTCATAAGATTTAACAGCACTCTTGGGGCGCCTGGGTGGCACAGTCGGTTAAGCATCCGACTTCAGCCAGGTCACGATCTCGCGGTCTGGGAGTTCGAGCCCCGCGTCAGGCTCTGGGCTGATGGCTCAGAGCCTGGAGCCTGTTTCTGATTCTGTGTCTCCCTCTCTCTCTGCCCCTCCCCCGTTCATGCTCTGTCTCTCTCTATCCCAAAAATAAATAAACGTTGAAAAAAAAATTAAAAAAAAGATTTAACAGCACTCTTAAATAAAACCATTTCAGGGTGCCTGGGTGGCTCAGTTGGTTAAGTGTCCGACTGTGGACTTTGGCCCAGGTCATGATCTCACAGTGCGTTTGAGCCCCACCTTGGGCTTTGTGCTGACACATCAGAGCCTGCTTGGGATTCTCTCTCTCTCTCTCTCTCTCTCTCTCTCTCTCTCAATCAATCAATCAATCAATCAATAAATAAATGTAAAAACAAAAAGCATTTCAGTTTTTATGTTTAGTATTTCTCTAACAAAAATGAGTCAGATGTATTCTTATAAATACTCACAAAATTGTGTGCTTTTTGAGAAAATCCTGCTCTCAAAAATCCATCACAGCAGTAAACTAAAGAGCACGTTGTTACTTTAATATTAGTGTTGCTAGTGTTAGGCTATAATTTGGGCAAATGTCTGTGGTTTAAATCAACACAGCATGCAATGTAGCAGTGAGAATGAAAGTTCTTAAGAATTGATTATAGTATTCAGTTTCCAAGTAAATGTACAAAAAAACAGTGTCAAAGCCATTTCTAGCAGTTCCCTGATAATGTGCATATTCCAGATGCCAATTATGTATTTCCAGAACCAGGTTTCACAGAATGCAAAACTGTGGCCATTTTCATTAGCATGAACTATTTGAAAACTAGAACTGCTTTTCACTTAGAGGCGAAAGGAAACCAACTGAGTAACACAGCAATTACAGCAGCAGTTCTATAAATGATACTGGATGTTGCTGGACCAAGCAATAATGCCAAATGAGTAAGCTACTGGAGCAAAGGTTTCTCACTTCTGGGCAGGCTATAAGATACAAACTCCAAACCAGCATCCCTAGTCCACTTTATAGTGGTCCTAAATGCAAAGCTGATCTATACGAAGATCTAAACCCAAAGAGGTGGTTCATATCAAGAATTATATAGGACCAGGGTGCTTGGATGGCTCAGTTCGTTGAGGTCTGACTTCGGTTTGGGTCATCATCCCACTGTTCTGTGCTGACAGCTCAGAGCCTGGAGCCTGCTTTGGATTCTGTCTCCCTCTTTGTCTGTCCCTCCCCCACTTGTACTCTGTCTCAAAAATAAACAAACATTACAAACACAAAAAAAATAAAATCTTAAAAAAATGATATAGGACTGTTTTTTTTCTTATTAAAATATTTTTTTAATGTTTATTTTTGAGAGAAAAAGTGAGACAGCATGCACAGGGGAAGGGCAGAGAGAGAGGGAGACACAGAATCCAAAGCAGGCTCCAGGCTCTAAGCTGTCAGCACAGAGCCCAATGTGAGGCTCGAACGCACAAACTGTGAGATCATGACCTGAGCTGAGGTTGGATGTTTAACCGACTGAGGCACCCAGGCGCCCCTAGGACTAATATGTTAATCGCACCACTACACCTTTCTTTTCATTCTTTCAAATAATAACCCTGCTCACATCACATGAGAGAAGAAAGAAAGCTCCTAATTCCTTTTTCTTCAGGCAACTGAACATTTTAGGCTTTTAACTATTGGAGCAGATCTGAGTGTGGCTGGGAGTTTGCCTGGGGAGGTGGCTCTCAAGGTGTGGCCTGGGGCCCGGCAGCATCAGTGTCACCTTGGAACCCACGAATGCAATTTTCAGGCTCCAACCCCGATCTACCCAATCAAAAACCTCTGGCTGCAGTGTCAGCAACCTATGGTTTAACAAGCCCACCAGGGGACTCTGATGGACACTCATGTTTGGGACCACCAACAAAGGAGAGTGTTCAGTGGGGGAGAAGCAACACCTGACAGGTGGCTGGCAGAAGTTGCTAGGTACACTCCTGTAGTGTCCTGTTCCATCTGTGGGGAGAAGTACACCAAGGGGGTGTGTGTCAATACAACATTGAGTTGTTAATCTACCAGAGCCTGACATTTCAGACAAAACAAAGCACTGGCTCACCCCAAAATTGCATAATTAAAACTCTGCTGATAAATTCTTGGCCCATTTCAAGCCATGTACCCACAGAATTTTTTATTTTTCTTTCCAAGATTTTATCAAAAAATTTTTTTTAATGTTTATTTATTTTTGAGACAGAGAGACAGCATGAACGGGGGAGGGTCAGAGAGAGGGAGACACAGAATCTGAAACAGGCTCCAGGCTCTGAGCTGTCAGCACAGAGCCTGACGCGGGGCTTGAACTCGCGGACCGTGAGATCATGACCTGAGCCGAAGTCGGCCGCTTAACCGATTGAGCCACCCAGGCGCCCCTCCAAGATCTTATTTAAATTCCAGTTAGTTAACATACAGTATAGTATTGGTTTCAGGAGTAGAATTTAGTGATTCATCACTTACATATAACACCCAGTGCTCATCACAAGTGCCCTACTTAGTGCCCACCATGCTTCAGCCCATCCCTCTACTCACCTACCCACCTCCTTTACCCACAGAATTTGAAATCTGGGTGGGACTTTGGGAATCTTTCATGATGTCAAGTGGTGCCATTTCTCACAGATTAAAAAAAACAGTAAGCTACACACCCGTACCTGCTATTCCAAGATGGATTTTGAGAGTCTCTCCACCTTTTCTATCTTCTTCCAGAGATTCAGATTCACCAGCAATTGGTAGAGACATTGATGTAGAAGGAGGACTGTAAATAAATATTTCAAAGGATCAGAACTTGATTAATGGATGGGTGAATCAGAAAGCTTGAGATAGTGTTAAAGAATGGTTGTGGAGTCAGTGCACCACTTTAGTAAGGTGCCTGCTTAACGGTACCTCTTTGAGGGTGAACATCATAAAAATCAACACATACTGTATGAGCTGCCTCAAAACTGGAATACACTTCGTGGGGAAAACAAAAGATTTTTACTCAACAAAAAATGTGAGGCCAGAAAGGGGACTGCCTCCACAGAGTCTGGAAAAGAGGAGCTCTGGTTGTGTGTCCCCGGCACCATCTGTGGAGGATGCTTCAACTGTCAACTCTCAGACAAGGCAGGGAGGTTACCTGAGGCAGAGAAGGTGGTATCAAGACCCTTTGTATCTGAGGTCGGAGGGGAATATGTCATGCCTTCCACTCCAGGGCCTGAGCTCTCTTGTTGGCCTACTAACTTCTTAAATGTACCCACGGTTTTAACTTCTACCTTCTCTGTCAACGGCTCACTTACCCTAGGGGGAATCTGTAAAGAGCCCCAGTTGTTTAGATTGTTTTTTGGGCTGGATTCTCTAGGGGCAGGTGATGGATATCTTTTCATTGGCTAATTCAAGGCTCCTATCTCCATGTGGAAGATGTGTAGCAGGTTGGGGCAAATCTGAGTTCTAACAGGAATTTTTTTTTTTTTAATAAAACATCCCTAACTTTTGAGGTTGACAGTCTAGAGGAAAACCACATCTTCCTGGAGACTATCCCTTGGTGACCTGAGGTAAAATAGGGAGGTGGCTGAAGGGATAGTGGGTGAAGCTGATCCACTACGTGGCAATTCCTTTTTTGTTTTTGTTATTTTGTATTTACTGAAATTCAAAACATACTAGCAAAGTACCTCTAAAATAAAGATTGCTAAAATAAACTAGAAAAGTATTTCCAAAATACAGATGACCAAAAATTAGTTAGCCTGAGTATATTAGTTATGTTGTTGCTGGAACACATTACCACAAACTCAGAGACTTAACATAAATTCATTATCTTACAGTTTCTGTTAGAGGTCTGACATAGGTTCCACTGGACCAAAATCAAGGTGTTGGCAGGACCACATTCCTTCCTGGAGGCTTTAGGGGAGAACCTGTTTCCTTGCCTTTTCCAGCCTCCAGAGACTGCCTGCACTCTTTGGCTCAGGCTTCTTCCTCCATCTTCAAAGCCAGAAAGGCTGCATCTCTCTCTGACTGTTCTGTATTTCGCATTTCCCTCTAACCCTGACATGCTGCCAATTACCTTTTCTCTTGGATTATACCTCTTCCCTTTAAGGACCCTTGGGATTATAGTGGGTCCACATGGAGAACCCAGAATAATTTCCCTATTTTGAAGTGGGATTACTACTTTAATTCCACCTGCCATCTCATTCTCCTTGGCCATTTAACTCAACATATTCACACATTCTAAGGATTAGGTGTAGACATCTTTGGTGGTGCTGGGGACATTAGTCTACACACATTAATATACTACAGTTTAATATTTTCATGACAGTTCAGTAATTGTCATTCAGTTGCCCTAATACAGAATTTATCTTTTTTTATCTATGTAAAACATTAAACTGGCCAAATGCAATAGTAACAAAAAAAATGTAATACAATATAAAACCCATTGTACAACAGTATAAGTAGTGGTTATTTGTATACATACGTTCATATATGTATATATAAAACTATAGTACACATGTGTATGTGTATATATTGTGTGTGTACATATATTGTGTGGTAATTCTTAAATTCTTAATATATTATGTCAGTAGAATCCTCTGGCTATTTAGGTCCTTGAAGATACAGACATTTAAGACCGTCATTAAACCTATTTCGAGATTCTTTCTTTCTTTTTTTTGTGTTTATTTATTTTGAGAGAGAGAGAGAGAGAGAGAGAGAGAGAGAGAGAGAGAGAGAGAATATGAATGAATGAATGTGGGGAGGGGCAGAGAAGGAATCCCAAGCAGGGACATAAGACTTGATCTCACAAACCATGAGATCACAACCTGAGCCAAAATCAGGAGTCGGATGCTCAACTGACTCAGCCACCCTAGTGCCCTGAAACCTATTTATAAATTATTTTTATCATAAGGTCTCCTAAATTCCAAAATTGCATATCCTGTTGGGATACTTTCAAGTATTTGTCTTGCAAGTATACTGAAGTCAATATATGCCCAGCTAAGGCCATCTTCTCTTCCTAAATCTGCTTTCTTCTTGTATTCTCCAACTCTGTGAATGTCATCATAGTCCACAAAGTCACTGAAACTACAGTCCTAGATACTGCCTCTGGGTCCTTCCTACTCACATTTCTCCATACCCAAACAGTTTCCAAATCCCACAGATTCTCCCATGTTCTTTCTATTTGTCATCTTTTCTCTGCCTCCAGTAATTACTTTAGTTTGGTCTTTGTACCTTAAGACCACAAGAGTCTCCTAGCTAGGAGCTTGTTATGAACATGTTATTCTCTGATTAAAAGCATGTCAATAGCTCCTTTCAGATAAAGCACAAACTCTTTATAAGGCCCTTTGTAGTCTGGCCTAGACCTACTTCTTCAGTTACCAAAGGCTGTATTTTTAAATAGTGTGAAATAATAGTGGCCTAAAAAGCCCTGCATTCAATATTCCATAAGAAAAAGTAACATGCAAAACAAATACACTTACAAAGAATGGAGTCTACAGTCCCAGTCATTAATCACTGATGGTGACTCATGCCTGCCTGTCCTATTTTTTTAATGCCAAGTCCTTTGTTCTTCCTTTCACAGGTGGCCTGATTCCAGTGTCTCCATCCCTCTACCTCTTAGACCTGTTTTCCAACTTTCAGTGCTCCCAGCCTGTGGCCTCTTCCCTTTCTCCCTGTCTCCCTCTGGCTCCACTCTTTCCTGTTCAGCCTGACTTCAGGGCCACAATACTTTTAGCAATACCTTCAGTTTGGCATCCCTTGTTCTGAGGTCTCAAAACACTTGAAGAACCCCAACCCTTAATAATTTGAGCCTTCTTCACTAACTTAGTTAACTGGGGTAACTAAGCATTACAGAGAAAATTCAATAGTTTTGAATTATTGAATCAGTCCATGGGGACTGATATTAATTATGGTCCAAAATTTATAGTGGGGCCTTGGCAGCTCTCCTAAGTCTCCCTACACAACTCAGTCATGTTGAATAATCACTGTGCTTAACGTGTGTCAGTTTTTATTCTATTACCCCTTTTTGTTCTGAAAATGTTTTTGTATCCCTTATAAGAACTTGCTTAATATAGCTCAATTACAGAACGAAGAGATGAGATTTTATTTTAATGTCACAGCAACGTTAAGAGTATGTGAAAAATGACCTGAAGTGACAATATTATGTACTTGATATTCATGCCCTGTAACAATGCCATAAACTCATGCAAGACGTTTTCTATTCCTGGAATGTCCTACCCACCTCCTCTGCTTGATAATTTCCTATTCATCCTCTAAAAATTAGCGCAGTATCACCCCCTCAGTGAACACTTTCCTGCATTTCAAGAAAAAGTAGTTAGGGACTCTACCATCCATGCCTCAGTAGCATCATATGTTCTGTGTCTGTCTCCCACAGAAGGAGTAAATTTTTCAGAACAGGGGCTGGCCTTACTTAAGTTTGGTAAATGTTAGCACATGGCAGACAATCAATGCACACGTACAGAATAAATGAGTGAATCCTGGGACCCTGGACAAATTAGTTCCTTAACCTCGGAGCCTCAGGGTCCTCACTTAAAAAATATAGATACTGTATCAGAGTTGTTTCAACATTTAAATTGGAAGACAGTAATATTTACTAAATCATTTTGACAAATAGTACTCTCCTTCCTTCTAGAATATGAATGCTCCAGAACCCTAGCTATTCAAGAGGATTATCATCCCTAGATCTACTTTACCACCATATTGTCAGATGTCAGTGTAGCATGTATTTTTTCTCTCAAAATATCCTTTTTCTCTTAAAATTCTTAAAAAACATTTTTTTTAATCTTTATTTTTGAGAGATAGAGACAGTGCGAGCGGGGGAGGAACAGAGAGAGAGGGAGACCAGAATCTGAAGCTGGTTCCAGGCTCTGAGCTGTCAGAAGAGAGACCAACATAGGGCTTGAACTCACATTCATGAGATCATGACCTAAGCTGAAGTCGGATGCCCAACCGACTGAGCCACCCAGGAGCCCCTCTCTTAAAATTCTTAAAAAGATTTTTATTTTTGTAAGTAATCTCACCCAGCATGGGGCTCGAACTCACAATCCTGAGACCAAGAGCTGCATGTTCCGCCAATTGAGCCAGCCAGGGGCCCCTATCCTTTTTCTTTATTAGCACTAGTGGTTGGCTTTTTTTTTTTTTTTTTTTAGCCAGTTTCATTCTTTTACAAGAGTCGGATATTTGATGATTTGCAGAGAACTACAAAACAGAGTCCAGGGCAGGTAGGTAGAGGGTGACTTACCAGCTGTCTTATTCATAAATACAGGCCTTACGGTATGAAATTTATCTTTCAGAAAATGATACAAATTATGGTACAGATCCTATGCTCATAAAATGTCAAAACTAGGGGCGCCTGGGTGGCTCAGTCGGTTAAGTGGCCGACTTCGGCTTAGGTCATGATCTCGCGGTCTGTGAGCCCCGCGTCGGGCTCTGTGCTGACAGCTCAGAGCCTGGAGCCTGTTTCAGATTCTGTGTCTCCCTCTCTCTGACCCTCCCCCGTTCATGCTTTGTCTCTGTCTCAAAAATAAATAAACATTAAAAAAAAAAAGTCAAAACTAGAATCTAAAGCTGAGAATGCTGAAGGTCTGCTGTATTCTTGTTAGTTTCTCTAGGTTTAAAAAAAATTTTTTTTTAATTTTTATTTATTTATTTTTTTTTAATTTTTTTTTTCCAACGTTTTATTTATTTTTGGGACAGAGACAGACAGAGCATGAACGGGGGAGGGGCAGAAAGAGAGGGAGACACAGAATCGGAAACAGGCTCCAGGCTCTGAGCCATCAGCCCAGAGCCTGACGCGGGGCTTGAACTCAAGGACCGCGAGATCGTGACCTGGCTGAAGTCGGACGCTTAACCGACTGCGCCACCCAGGCGCCCCTAAAAAAAAAATTTTTTTTTAAATGTTTACTTATTTTTGAGACAGAGAGAGACAGAGCATGAATGGGGGAGGGTCAGAGAGAGGGAGACACAGAATCTGAAACAGGCTTCAGGCTCTGAGCTGTCAGCACAGAGCCCGCTATGGGGCTCGAACTCACGGACCGTGAGATCATGACCTGAGCCGAAGTCGGCCACTTAACCGACTGAGCCACCCAGGCGCCCCGAGGTTTTTAAAAACTTTATATCCTGAAAAATTCAAAGACAGACAAAAGCAGAAAGAATAGTAGGATGAACCTCTCCAGCAGTTACTTACATCTATGTCTTAGAAATATTCAGTCATGTGACTCAGTTGTTTTTGCCTTAGTTTCCCCATGTGTAAAATGAGAACTTGGATTTTATAATACTTTTAAACTGGCTTGATGAAGCTCCTCCCTTAGAGACTTTAGGGGTAGTAAAGTACTATATCTTTTTTCAATAGAAAAAACTTACCTTTTGAGATTTATAATACATTTGAACACAAAGATTTTGTGGCTAAATATTCTGAAAAAAAATCACTGGACTGGACAAATTCCAACACTCTTTTCAGCTCTAAAGTATTGTGATTTTACATATTTGAGATATACTGAAATACAATATAATAAAAACAATTTACTTTTATCTTAAAAAAAGTTTTTTTTTTAATGTTTATTTATTTTGGGGAGACAGAGAGACAAAGCGGGGGAGGGGCAGAGAGAGAGGGAGATACAGAATCGGAAGCAGGTTCTAGGTTCTGAGCTGTCAGTACAGAGCCTGATGTGGGACTGGAACCCACGAAGTACGGGAACATGACCTAGGCCGAAGTCGGATGCTCAACCAACTGAGCCACCCAGGTCCCCCCCACCCCCCGCTTTTTTTCTGTTTTAGAGAAAAAGTGCGAGCAGGGAAGAGGGGCAGAGGGAGAGACAGAATCTTATTTATTTTAGAGACAGAGAGCATGCATGCAAGCGAGTGGGGGAAAGGGGCAGCAGGAGAGAATCCTAATCCATGCTGAGCGTGGAGCCCAATGTGGGGCTAGATTCCTGACCTGAGTTGAAATCAAGAGTTGGATGCTCAACTGACTGAGCCACTCAGGTGCCCTCCAAATAATTTACTTTTTAAATCAGTAGTTTAAACACTTTTCTGTTTTTTTAAAGTTTATTTATTTATTTTGAGAGAGAGGGAGAGAGCATGTGTGCACACATGTGCATAGGGGAGGGGCAGAGACAGAGAGGGAAGAGAGAATCCCAAGCAGAGCCCAACTCTGGGCTCGATATTATAAACTGTGAGATCAGCACCTGAGCTGAAAAACCAAGAGTCGGATGCTCAACCAACTGAGATACCCAGGCGCCCCTCACCATTTTTCTATTCAGTCCATACTCAGTATGCATAAGTGCATGGATGGGTCAGAGTTGCTCCTTTTCCACTGACAGTTGTACAATTTCAGATATTCAGAGAAAAGAGAAAATAACTATTGGGAGTTTGGTTCTCCTGAGAAATATTTTTATGTATCTTGGGATTAGGTGAAGTCTGTTTATTCTAATGAGTTATAAACATCTTTCCTATAAATATAAATTCTAGACTCTCAGAATTACATTCCCAGAGATAATACAGAACATAAGGTGGTATTTTTGAGCTCTTCAGTATTTGAGTTGCACAAGTGGAGAGATAAAATGGTAGAGAAAGGGCCAGAAAGGGAATATTCTTAAGTTCACGAGAAGGAATGATGAATTCCTTTCCTTCCACTTTGTTTTGCTGCTCATTTTCTCATTTTGCCTTAAACTGATTCCACTAGAAAAACACTGTTACCTAAGAAGCCAAATGTAGCATAGCAAAAATTGTTTAGTCTCAACAGAGCAGGATATAAAGAAAGAAGCCAGGAAATTACGGTTCAAGAGATGACAACACAGGAAAGGTAAGTTATAGTAAAATGCATAGTTTAATCAATTGATTTTTTATTAAATATGTATTTTCAACTTTACAAAACACTGTAAATAGGGAACTATATGGATGTTACTATTAAAAACATGGAAGTTGGTGCACAGGGAAAAATTAAGGTTTTCTTTCCTTTACTAAATATATTTTTCTCAGATATTCAAGTGACATATAATTAATTTTCTTTTGTAATTGAGTGTCTTCAGTATTGCTAACAAACAAGCCTCTCCCCATTCAGCTCACTCTCCCACACTCTGACAGGACTCTTCCACATCTTTCCTCTTTCCTCAAACCCATCGCCATCTTTCCCGTCCGCACTCTTCAATGATCATCTCATTTCCTATTTCACTAGGAAATAAGGAGAAAATTGAAAATAACTTCTATATGCTTCCATTTCTCATATAACTGCATCTAAAGCCATATTCTCTGCATTCATTGCTCTTGACAATCCAAGGACACCGTCTAGCAACTGTCTTTTTTCTCTTCTGTGTCCCCTCTCTCCCTACCGAACCATTCAGATCTGTACACAAATACTATCTCCCATCTTAAAAAACAAACAAACAAACAAGTAAACCCAAAGACCTGCTCTTGACCCTGTATCCTCTTTTTATTTGTAACTTGATTTTCTGTTCCTTTTTTGGCAGCAAAATCGTTTATGCTGTCTCCAATTTTTCTCTTCTCAAGCCCTCTTTAACCCACTCCAGAAAGATTACAGGCTCCCAGCAATCTATCAAAATGCTTGTCAAAGGCACTGGTGGTTTCTGGACAGCAAATCCAAAGGTGAGTTTCCAGTCCTCATCTTCCGTGATCTACTTCCACAGTGTGGGACACAGCCAATTACCCTCTCCTTTTTGAAACACGTCCCACACTTGGTTTTTCAGGACAGTCTTCCCCTTTGGTTCATTCCTTTTCTTTCACAGGTTGTTCCTTTGCTGATTCTTCCCCATCTCCCCAACCTCCAACACTGGAGTGTCCCACCCTTCAGTCTGTGGTTCTTTTCTTTATTTATAGTCACTCCCTTTAGGTCATTTAACCAAATTGCATGGCTTTAACTGCTCTGTATGTGCTGATGACGTCATGATTTCCAAAATTATGTCTTCAGCTCGGGCCTCCCCACTGAACTCTTAGTGTTATGTCCAACTGCCCACATGATGTGCCTGGCTGGATGTTAAATAGGGATCTCAAATCCTATTTGACATGCCTAACATCCAAGCTCCCAACCCCCAACCTGTTTTTCTTAGAGGCTCTGCTATTTCAGTAAGTGGAAAAACCATTTCTCTAGTTACTCAGGCCCTAAACCTTGGACTACTGAAACGGCCTCCTAACCCTTTACCTATTTCTGCCATTCCTCCTGTCGTTGCTTCCCCAAATTGTCTACTCTCTACCTAGCAGCCATAAGTCCGATAATTTTATTCCCTTGCTCTAAACCCTCCAGGAGCTTATTGTCTCACTCAGGTTATAAGTGGCTGACAAGCCTCTTCATCACCTGATCCTATCTCCAATCCCCCTACTCCTCATTCTCTCTGTTCTAGACATACTGGTCTCCTGGCAGTTCCTGGGACATGACAAACACACTCCTCCCTCAAGACCTTTGTCCCTGTTCCTCTAACTCAAATGCTCTTTCCCCAAATGTCTGCATGGCGTGCTTTCCACCTCCTTTAGGTCTCTGCTCAAATATCAGCTTTGCCAGGGAGGACTTTCTTGACTATACTCTAAAACAGCAACGTTTCTCCCCACCATGCCTTCCTACCCTGCATTATTTTTCTCCAAAACCCTCATTGCTCTTTTTAAATTATACGTGTATTTATTAGCTCGTTATCCATTTTCCTCTTAGAATACATGCTCCAAGAGGTCAGGGACTTGGTCAATTTTTTTTCACTGCTGTTTCTCTAGTGTCTAGAATAGGGCCTAGCACATGGTAAGGCACTTAAGAGGTATCTGTTGAAGAAATGAGTAAGTCTGTGGGGGTCAAATTAAAACATTTAATTTGTATAGTTTCACCCAAAACTTGAAGATGATAAAAGACCTATAGCTTAAATAATTTTAGACTGTGGGGAGCTTGTTTGGTAAAAGGTAATAGTAACTTCTATGTGGGTCAGGTCAGTCTCCTAGAAAAAGAACAGTCCCTTCCCTAGTAAATATTATGAAATATGAATGCAAAAATTTAAACAAACAAAAAGAAACCACTTTTATACTTTCAGATAAATAATTCATTTACAAAGCTTCAACTTACGTTTTAAAACATGGGTCTCCAGACATCAGCTGCATACTGATCAAAACCTGAATATTAGGAAAAGAAATGTGATTATAAAAGTTTCCTTGAGAGGAGAAGCCACATTCCGCTAATCTATGCATCCACCACAGAATCTAGGCCAATATTTTCTGTTTAGAAAGTATTAAATAAAATGATAGCTTAATTGGGTTACATCCAGTATTAAATTGCTGCTTTATACAGACACAGATTTAAAACCACTTTTTTTTTTTTAATTTTTTTTTCAACGTTTATTTATTTTTGGGATAGAGAGAGACAGAGCATGAACGGGGGAGGGGCAGAGAGAGAGGGAGACATAGAATGGGAAACAGGCTCCAGGCTCTGAGCCATCAGCCCAGAGCTCGACGCGGGGCTCGAACTCACGGACCGCGAGATCGTGACCTGGCTGAAGTCGGACGCTTAACCGACTGCGCCACCCAGGCGCCCCTTAAAACCACTTTTTAACATTCAAAACTCTGTAACTGCAAAAATCAGAGTGGAAAAGATGGAAACAAAAAGCAAGTGCTGCCCTCATAACAGTTCTGTGGGTGTGTGCTGTACTGGTCTAGTTTATCTGTCTTTCCTCCCCAATTCCTGTGGTGCCCAAGTGTCTGGAATGTTTCCCTCCAACTTGCCATGTTGTTGCCTCATGGGCTGCCTGAAGTGGCTTGCAAGAGCACAATGCTTCTGGCCCGTGTTCCAGCTTTAGATCAGAATTTAAACCTTTGCTAATGCTTTCTGAAATGCTGCTGTTCTCTAGTTGTGACTGTCTTTTAAGACTCAACCACAGCGGGCGGGGGTGGGGGGAGGAGGCGCCTGGGTGGCTCAGTTGGTTAAGTGTTGGACTCTTAATTTCAGCTCAGGTCATGATCTTGTGGTTGTGGTGAGATGGAGCCCCGAGTCAGTCTCTGTGCAGAGTGTGGAGCCTGATTGGGATTCATTCATTCTCTCTCTCTCTCCCTCTGCTCCTCCCCCGGACTCACTGGAGCTCTTTTTCTTTTTTTTTTTTTTTTAAATTTTTTTTTTCAACGTTTATTTATTTTGGGGACAGAGAGAGACAGAGCATGAACGGGGGAGGGGCAGAGAGAGAGGGAGACACAGAATCCGAAACAGGCTCCAGGCTCTGAGCCATCAGCCCAGAGCCTGACGCGGGGCTCGAACTCACGGATCGCGAGATCGTGACCTGGCTGAAGTCGGACACTTAACCGACTGTGCCACCCAGGTGCCCCATGGAGCTCTTTTTCAAAATAAATAAATAAACATTAAAAAAAAAAAAAGACTCAGCCATAGGACCTTGTTTCCTTCTTCTGGGAGTAATAATGATAACGGTAGTAATAACAACAACATTAACAGCAATCATGATTTGAGAATTAATTATGTGCCAGGCATAAGCTGTGTTTTATAATGCAAGATTTCACTGGATCTTCAACACTCCTATGAGAGATGGATACTTTCATTTTAAGTTCAGGAGATATATTAGTATTTTCAAGATCAGGTAGCTAATAAAGGGCAGAGCTGAGATCTGAAGCTAGGACTGCACAATACTAAAACCCACGGTCTTTACAAAGAGGAGGAGATATAGTGGCTGACATGTATCCTAATATAACCAACCTCATTTCTTTCTTATTTCTTCACCCCAGTGCCTCCACTGCTGTTCTTTTCCCCTTTGAGCACTACACTTACTAAATGTGTGCGTCTGGGCCTGCTGCGCTGGTAGCCTTATCCCCTCCACCACAGTCTGGTTTCTAACTCCGTCAAAACAGCACTCTTGAGTATCTTTAATGTCTGAGGAGGGAGGGAGATGGCACATGCAGCTCTTAAGAAATTGTGTGGGGAAGCAGAACAGAGAGAGTAGGATAGTGGTTGAAGGAGGTGAGAAGCGGTTTTTGTTTTAAACACAGCAGATACTAGAGCTGTTTCTCCGTATGTTAATGAGGATGATTCACTAGAGATAGAGAACATCAGGAGAAGGGATAGTCCAAGTGGCACCGCTCTGGATTAGGCAAGCTCTGGATTCTTCAACCCAAGGGAAGCGATTGACTTCTGACAGGGAGAGGGGCATTTCCTTCATTGTAACCAGGGCAAAAAGGATAACAGGGCTGGACAGACAGGAAGAATCATAAATTCGGCAATGGGAATATGAGGGAATTTGATTTAATGGCTTCTGTTTTCTCAATAAAGGATAAAGAAAGACCATCAGTTGAGAGTAAGAGTGGTGCATAGAGATCCAAGGAGAAAGAAGGTATACCATAGAGTCTCTAGAAAAATGGGAAAGGATGCTTTCAAAGGAAGTACAGTTGCTTGATGTCAGGGAGCAAGACTGAAGGCACGGCAGCTGGATGGTTGTATGATGTTCTCCAGCAACATTCGGCAACTAGGATGCAAGTCCAGAGAGGACAGTTGAGTCTGACTGGGGTCGGGGATTACTCAGGGGAGAGCAATGAGGGAGACAGGGGCAAAGGAGCGAGGAATATTTTTGAGCATAGGATAATCAGGGGTCCCAGAATCGAAGCTGGATAAAGAGGGAAGTGGAAACAAGTGGAGGCTGGTAGACAGTGAGAGCGGTCAGGTTAAGGATAGCCAAGTGAACAGTAGACCAAGAGGACTGGAAGCATAACAGATGGGGGCAGGGGATACTTGGAACTAAAATTCTGGAGGTGGTGGAATTTCTAGAGGTAAGTCTAGACTGTGACCATGGGGTGTGGAATGGAGGTGAAGAAAAGGAAAAGGTTCCTGGAGAAGGGTAGTTTGAGGAAAGGAGAGGTCCTAGGTACATGAAAGATTAGCTAGAGGGAGAGAATGCACAGAAAAGACAGTCTGCAGGGACAGATCACCCACCAGATGGTGGAGCCATCAAAAAATGATGACAGAAGGGATGGAAAGAAAAACTGTGAGGCAGGAGCTAAGTCATCATAAGTAGGAGAGAGAAGGTAACTAGGTGACCAGGAGATGACAGCTCAGGCAGGGAGACAGTGTGTGTGATACAGAGTGGTATGATCTATAAAAGAGTAATTTCTTTGTAGGGCCAACTGGGAGAAATGGTGTGAAAGGATCAATGGAGAGCCAAAAGGAAACTACTCCAGGAGCTGGCCCTAAGGAATAGCAGGGGATGGAATTTAAAATTAGAAGGTTATTTCAATTCCCAGAACACGTCAGTTAAGTGTGGGACTCGATTTTGGCTGAGGTCATGATCTCATGGTTCAGTTTGTGAGATCAAACCCATGTTGGGCTCCACAGTGGGTGTGGAGCCTGCTTAAGATTCTCTCTCTTGGGGTGCCTGGGTGGCTCAGTAGGTTAAGAGCCTGACTCTTGATTTTGGCTTAGGTCATGATCTCATGATTTGTGAGATCAAGTCTTGCTTCAGGCTCTGTGCTGAAAGTGTGGAGTCTGCTTGGGATTCTCTCTCTCCCTCTCTCTGCCCTTCCCCTGCTCATGCTCTCTCTCTCTCCCTCTATAGATAAATAAACATTAAAAAAAAAAGATTCTCTCTTTTCCTCTGCTTCTCCCCTGCTTGAGTGCATGCGTGTACACATGCTTTCCATCTCTTTCTTAAAAAAAAAAAAAATAAAGAAAAAAAAGAAAGTCATTTCAGTTCCTAATGAAAACACTATTCAGAGAAGGATTATCTTTCTTCTTACACTGCAAATATGAAGAAACTTAGCGGCTTGTTCAGCTTGTTTGGGATCAGTCTAAGAAGGAATAGGGCAGCCTGTTTCTTTGGAGTCTGATGCTTAGACAGCATGGCAACATGAAAAGACCACTGACTACATAATGGTAGAGATGCATTCTGGTCTCTGCTCTGCTACTGATGACTGATGACTTTAGTGAGACACTTAACCTTCTAAGTCTCAGCTTCTTCATCTATAAAATGGAGAGAATCTATCCCCATCTGAAGAACACTGTTTACCTTACATGGGTATATGCAAGTACTTTGAAATTTTTTTCAGTTATATTTATTGAAAACAAAGTTTGAAAAGTGTAGGTATAGGGTAATTCTTTGCTCCACTAACTTCCGACCATACAGTTTTTACTAGGAATTATTTTCCTTTCTTATCATTAGATAACTTACCATCAAGGGGTAAACTAACTAAAATACAGCAAAAGGTCTGTCCGGTGAGGCTTAGTAGGTACAAGACACTTTACAAACATATTCTGAACTGGTCTCATTTAATACTCCCACCAACCGTATGTGTTCTCTGTGGCCACCACACTATGGGGCTGCTGATGCTACTTGGAAACAACATCGCAGATGCCCAAAGTGAGTTCCACCTGTCACTTTACTAGTTACCAGAGAACCCAGTGACTTCTATGTGCCCACCATAGCTGCTTGGGAAGTCACTTTTTGGGAGTGATACATGTTTTAAGGTATTCATTCATCATGCTCCTTACTGTCAATGAGCCTGATGCTGTAGCAGTTGTATGTACTATTCCCTGAATGTTCACAGCCTCAGAAACACCTTAGGATCATGAAGGTGAACATTTGTTACTTTTTGCTGCTTCTGTGATATGGGTAGCCTTTTTCCCTTGAAGGTGAGTATTTCAGTGTGGTGTGGTCGCTTATGATCTCAGTACTGATTCCCATCTTGCCCTTGACTGTGTATACCTATGCTTATTCAAAGGCAGAGATTCTCATTTGTTGACATGTAAATCTCAAAACATGCTTACTTTAAGAATGGAATTATCCTGTCTTGTATTTTTGGTATCATAGCCTTCCAGTAAACAGCGACGAGTGGTATTTCCTGATCCAGCAAACTCTGCCAGGTTTAGATCTGCAAAGCCCAGCTATGAAAAGAAAGGGAATTATATTAATAGAATATCTACTAGGCTTCTATCATATTCTCCTTAAAATAAACATTCAACCCATGCTCTAGACAAGTTTTCTCAAACAACGGTCATTTGCAAGTGTGGCCATCTTAACAATATCTGCCCCATTATTTGCTTAATGTGTATCTTAAGATTGGCTCACCTTTTTGTTAAAATATATCACCTTTTCAATTCTTAAGCAATATGATCTCTGAAATCACAGACTTGATGCACTAAATATATATTTTTTCCTGTACACACTGAAATATATAACTGTTGAAGTAAAAATAATGTTTATCAAACAATTAAAATCATTCCAAGTAGCAGCAGTACTCATCCAACACTGTGGGAAACGGCAGCAGACCAATCATGCATGATCATCTGCATGTTCATAGAGAAAACTGATCAGACTTTCTTCTCTCCATTCTGGTTCTGGCTCCTTTCCCAGTTAATCACTGGTGACTGCAGATAGTGGCAGGTTATTAAATTCTTACTTTAAGTGCAAGAAGTAGAATGATTTAAATGTATCAGACATTTTCTTTGGTATAAGCCCCTTCTTCTTCACCACCTTTCACATTGCCTTGCTGATCTCTCTTTACCTTTCTTTTCCCCTTCCCTAAAGCTGCACCCCACAACAACGCTCTATGCTGCTATGCAGAAGTTCAGCTGAAAGCTGTTCCTCCCTCTCATTATGACCCAGGTTCTTCTCCATTTTCTGAAGTTACCAATGATTGTCCTGCACTCTTCCCTCTGATGTTGTTCAACTTCTATTTCCCGTTTCCAAGCAGTAAAGAAATATGCCCCACCCCCCCTTTTTTTTTTTTTTTACAAACTAAGTCTGTTCTACATGACTAAATGTATATGGAATCTTTTATTAAAAACAAAAAATGTTTTGAATTTGTAATTAAGCACATCTCCCTGAATACCTAATGAAGAGTATTAGCCATTTGAAGCACTGCTATGATTTTAAGCTGCCTGTTTTAAGATTTAAAAACACATACTGGACACGTATGAATGGCATTCAAGATGAAGATTTTAACTACAGGCTGGAGCATTAATTTAGTAGCTTTTACTAATTTTTTAAAAATGTTTATTTATTTTTGAGAGTGAGACAAAGAGACAGAGCATGAGCTGAGAAGGGGCAGAGAGAGAGGAAGACCCAGATTTCGAAGCAGGCTCCAGGTTCTGAGCTGTCAGCACAGAGCCCAATAAGGGGCTCAAACCCATGAACCGTGAAATCATGACCTGAGCCAGAGTCGGACGCTTAGCCGACTGAGCCACCCAGGTGCCCCTAGTAGCTTTTAACTGGTACAGAAAGAATGAAGAGTAAGAACTTTGAGACCAATTAAAGGGCCACAATTTCCCAATGCAGTAAGTCAGAACACATCAGGCCACAGGTGACATCTACTTAATTTTCACGTGGCTACTCCGGCCTTAGGGGAGTACCTTTTAGGGGTTCAGAACAATAGCCTGGATGCATCCAGGGCAAAGCCACATCCAAATAAGCATGTGAAGATTCACGTGGCTATTTGATTGCACATCATCCAAAGGCTCTATTTCATACATTATCCTTTTTCTTTAAACCTCCAGCACCTCCTTTCCATCCAAACTCTGCTGATGCCTTACTTTTTAATTCACTCAGAGGATAAAAGCAATCAAAAAAGTGCTTAACTTCCACAAGCTCTTACTGCCAGCCACATCTACTCACCTGCCTGCAGCTAGGCCTGCTTATTTTAAGTGAACTGGCTGTGCTCCGATCTGAGGCCACCCACTGTCCTCCGGCCTACTCAAGTTCACTGCTTCAGGAATTCTTCCCTCTCTTCTGCATTCTCAAGTTTCCCTTCTCTACTGAACCATTCCCATTCCACCACGTGGACCCGCTGGAGTTTTTGCCATCTGAATGAACAAAAGAAAACCTCATCTCACATCTCTGTCCAGTCTGTTGGACTATTTTTCTGCTCCCTTTTATAGCAAAGCTCCTTGAAAGAGTCGTCTATGTTGACTGTCTCTGGTCCCTTCATCCTTGGCCACTACCTTGTCAGCTTCACTTCCCTGCTTTCTTATTTATTTGTATTTATCTTATTTATTTCTTATTTCTTCTGGACACAATGTCCTTTTACTTGCAAATGCCAAGTCCACCTCAAGGCCTTTAACACTAACTGTTCTTTTGCCTGAAACATTCTTAGATCTTGTAGCTTTCTTCCTCACTCCATTCAGGTCTACGTTCAAATGTCATCTAAGGGGCTTTCCATGACCATTCTAAATGCCTTGCCTCCTTCCTCCCTCTCTAACCCTGTAGTTGTCTCTCTTTACCCCTTACCTGCCTTGTTCTTCTCTTTAGTAGTTGTTACCATATCACATACATACATATTTCATATTTATTTTGTTTACTGTCCATCCCCTCCAACCTTCCATGAGAATATAAGCTCCATAAAGGCAGGAATTTGGGTCTGTTTTGTTTACTGCTATATCCACAGTACTCAGAATAGTGTCAAGAACAATGCCTGCCATATGGTAGGAGTTAATACATATCTGTTGAATAAATACCAGCCCACTGGCCCACTATCCACTATTAGAATGCTGGTATTA